AAAAGCTGAAGCATGAAGATGAAAATAGAGTCTGACAGGGAAAAAAAGGGAGTCATGCAAATTATTTTTGTTATTGCACCGTGGTTTGTTTTGTTTTTTTTGTTTTTTTTCCTGCGAATTGTAAGTGATCATTCTGCCTTTTAGTTACAGCTGTCAGCCCTCGTTAATGTGCATTATAAATTGCATCAAAGTGCATAAGGCAGTGCGTGATTAATTTATACAGCTCTTTACATAGAAGGGAGCGTGCAGGTGTTGAGGAGCCTAATGAGTTGGTGTGGGTGGCACATTGGTTTTCAACACTTCATCTGACTGCGGTTTGTTCTGTTAGCTTGAGCGTTTGGCTTTAATAGCAACATAACAGGTCACCATCCTTATTGTTTTTTTTTTTAAATAATTGATATATTTAATATGAGATTCAACACATCAGACTTACAGTTAAATACACAGACATCCAGAGCTGTGTTCATGGAAAAGGTAAAGGTATATACTCTATTACTACTCTATTACAACTATTACTGAGCAACTGCGATGGTCATCTAAAGGAAAAGCTTCAGAAAACAAGAGCTTGTCATCTGCATATAATGACATGTACATATCATGATATATGAAAAAAACTGCTACAAGGAATGAATCAAATTTGGAGCAATTGAATGGCTGTCACTCACTGTTACTTTATAATATAATAATACAATAGAATATAGAATAATATAATGTAAAAACCTCATTTATTGATATTAATTATTCTACTATACTCCTAGTTGAACTGACTTTGTCTGGCCATTGTTTATAAATGACACATCCTATAAAACATAACCAGCATAAAATATTGTGCTTTGTGTTTTTGTGTTTCTTCCATAAATATTTGATCTTTGATAAATACAGTAGTTGTGCTGCGGTGGACTGACCTGAAGGATAAAGGGATGAGCAGACTCCTGGCTCTAATGAGAAGGTCACAGCGCTCTAATTATCACAGTCAGCTTTGTAACATCTGTTGAAAAAGCCAGAGTGAGTGGCATTATAGGACACGGAGTGATCACTTCCTGCCATATATGTAAGCAGACATGGGGCATCAAATAAATAAGTTAAACATTTAGGTCAGTTTAATTCATAAAAGTCAATAGTCATAACGCCAGACCAATAAATAAGACTACGACTGACAGGCTGACTGACCCGGGACTGTAAACTTCTACAAGCTTTACTTTTGCGTATTATTTTTTTTACATTGTCAAAACTGTGTCAATAATCCAATCATCTGGATTAGTCCCAAATAAAAACTGGTGGTTTACGTCATATTCAGGAATGACAATTTACCTTGATCAATCATGATTAATCGTGATTAATCCACAGCTACCGTGATTAATAGGATTAAAAACTGTAATTGATTGACAGCCATAATTATATCTCATTAATATCGGCCATCATTTATGGTAAATGGTCAACACAAAAAATGTGTTTTGTTGATAATGTTATAAATGTAGATGGACAACATGGATGAATGTTTGGCCCAGCTGAACACCATCACCATAACATTTTGAAAAAACAAGTTTGAGAATTTAGTGCCTTCAAATACATTTCAAATATTGTTGAATCTAAATTCCATAAAGAAAAAAATGCATATTTTGACTAATACAACCGTTACATCTATCAATATTTTTTAAAACCCAAAGAACAGAGAGAAGTTCTGCTCCTGGTAATCATCTGTCTTATTAAATGTGACTAAAAGGATCATTTATGAGATTTTTACGTCTTTTCTTTAACAAAAAAAAAGTCCTTCCCTTCTCACACTTTTATCAGTTTTTAACTTTTGATTCTGAGGGGTTGGATTTCACAGTCATCTAATAGGAATATTACAATATTAGAGAACACTGAGATCAAATTATTACTTCTAAACCTTATTAACAAAGACCTAGCTTTTTTGGGACAGCAGTGGAGTTTCCATTTTTACCACCACACACCCTACAGGCCAATGCTAAGAAGTGCTCATCATAATGTACTTAATATTGTAAATGTCCCACTTCAGTTTGTTTTAACAGGTCCTGCTGGAGAGTAAAACGCTTCCTTTCTTCCCTACTTCTGCCTCACTTCTCCTCCTGCCTTATCAATCCACTGCCCTTCTTGTGTACTTGGAACCTCTAATGGATTTCACATGACGACAGACCTGCTCCACACAGGAGCTGGAGGCCGGACTAACTTGACAGCCATTAGTCTGTATATTGGGAGTGCAGTGGAAGATGTTCTCTCTGTTTCCTGTTCCTGTCGTGCGTTGCGCTGAGGCGTCTCCCCGGGGTCGAGCGTGAACGTATCCACTCTGACAAGTGTCTCGCTCCTTTCACTGTGTTCCAGCGAAGCCTATTATCATGAGGTCCTGTGAATGTTGTGCATCAGGGAAGTAGCACATAAAAGAATGATCAGGGAAAGCTTTCAGACACAAGTTGTTTGCACAGACAGGCTCTTTGTTGAACAGAATGGAAACACAGCACAGGGGTGGGGGGGGGCTGTGAGGAGGGGGAGGAGGGGTTCACCTGTTGAATGTCCCCGTGGAGACCCAGGCACTCACACTTGGCATTATGTACCTTATTATTTATGTGTGGCTGTCAGCTAATAATTCATACACCTCTCACCGGAGCACTTTCTGCCATCTTTGAAAGTCACAGCGAGAGACACTTGGCAGTTTTGGAGAGACGTCCAGGGTCTCATCAGAGTTTTGTCTGAACGTTTCATTGCTACTTGTGCTGATATAATGCATCGTCGTGCCGTGAGTGCAGAGTGGTCTTTTTCATTTCCCTTCACTGATTTACTCCTGTCCACATCTTCTTCTTCTTCTGCTTAGCGCATTAGCCGACGGGTCGCTGTTGAGCTGATGATTTGGAGATACCGGGAATTATACAAGCATCGGGTGAAACAGCTCCAAATAAATTTATCATGTATACCTCGATGGTAGAAACGGAAGAATTCTTCTCTCGTTACAGTTGCTATGAAAAAATGATGAGGAACACCGTCATTCCTGAGCACCAGTGTTTCCTCATCTCCTCTCCTAATAGCTGTGATGGCTGACATTGGTCTCAGAGGGTTAAGGGCATTGTTCCCTGATCATGTGACAGGGACATATTTTATGCAAGAGCGAGCCCTGATTAGAGGGTGAGTTTAAATGACAACTAATTAGCCAACCTCTTTAGCCTCGGCGCTACGATCAAACGAGCTGTCATGGCGTACCTGATACAATGATCCTCTCACTCTTGATATGGTATTTTATTCCTCCGCAATTATGCAGCCCCCACTGCACCACATGTGTTTATTGCCTGGAGCACACATGTCAAATTAAAGAGCAGCTTATGCACCTGATATTTAATTATTGCCTGCTGCAGCACCGAGCACAATGGGAAAATGTCAAAGGCAGCAATCTACAGTACTTCACGCAGCAATCGGTACGCTGCCATCACTGAGCACTCATGCACACACACACACACACACACACATGCGACGGGAATTTGAATATTGAATATAAATGGGAACATCTTCCAGCTTGTCTACGCTCAGATGGCTTTTTTACACATTCTTTTGTCACTAAAGGGAATTTGGCGATGAATCGATGGGGAAAAAAGAAGACGCTCGAAGCGTTCATATTTGCCGTCAATACTAATGAAAATCGCAAACAAAACCCTGGTATAGAGTAGAAAAAGAAGAAAAATCTAAATCATTGAAAATATGTGATTGAGCATAGCAATAATTTCTCAACAGCTTTTACATTTTTACTGTAGACAAATGTTTTTTGATGACTGTTAAAGCAAGGATTACATTTAAATGTTTTGTGTTTTTTTTAAAAATTCAATAGATTTAAATTGAATTTAAGTGTGTAAAAATGTTCTTTTTTTCATGTATCTTAAAATAATTTCCCTTCATACTCACTGTTTTACTTTTATTTCATTTTATTTATCTTTTGTGCTGTGTGGGTGTTACCTACACTTAACCACAGTTTAGGTATAAATAGGCTAAATAAATCACGATTCAAATGCTTTTTTTTTCAAATCAGATTTATAAAGGGATAGATAACATTTTCATTTACAGATGAATTTTAAATGTGTTGAGAATTAATTAATATTCAGACTCAAAAGGTTCCTCAGTGTAAGAAAATTTAAACAACTTTCACTCAAGGTCAAAAACACAACTGAATGGCAGCTATTTTTCTGTTTCTAAAGGTAAGACTTTCCTCAACCTTTCAGCAATAAAATCTGAATAATTTGACTGTAAACTAGTTTAGAATAGTTTCAGTTCAGCAGTCGATTCTGAAAGAGGAGAATATAACCAGTCAGTCAGACTGTTGTCAGCCATGTGTTTGTGATGTCGCTGTGGTTCAGATACAGCCATAAAATCGACCTTTTTCTTCGGATAATTCAATTATTTCAAGCCATAAAAGTTTAATCACTCTTGTTCCAGTCTTTGAGATCATTTCTAGGTCTTTGTTTTGTGCTCTTGTCCCCTGACAGATTTACAGCTGCAGCAGGAAGTGATTCTGCTTATTCTGCAGCAAACTCACTGTGTTGCCTTTTTTTTTCGAGAACTTTTTCAATTAAATTATTCCCGTGATTTATTCACACACGATGCTGCGGTCTCGGCGTAAGTGTGTAATTCTTTCTCTCTCCTTGTGCTGTTTCATTGATGTTGCTGTTCTACTAATTATACAGTTCTTGAAAACAGATCATCAGCCGGCCTGATGAGCCGGGCTTTAACTTTTTTCGCTTTGAAATTTTTGTCGTCTCTGGTTCTTGTGCACGTCACATTGTTTTGTGTGCACCAAACTCCACAGATGTCAGCAGAATCTCTGAACATTCTTCATCTAAACACTGTCTTTTATGTGACTTGTCATTAACACGTATTTATCTCTGCAGAGCAGTGGCTGTTTAACACAGTCTGAGCTTTTATGAATGCACTTGATTAAAATATTAATTGCTCCACCTTTAGGGACCTGCTGCTAAAAATGATTGACTTTAATCCTCAGTGAACGTGTATGTCTAATAAAAACAGACACTCATACAGGGTTATAAAAGGGTTCATGTCTATATAAAGGTTATTAAATTAATTCCTCGTGACAAATTAGAATTTCCAATTATTAAAAAAAGAGAAGTAGCATTTTGCAAAACATCAACATTGTTGGAATTGAATTGAACCCAGGTTCTGCGCTAGTTTCTATAGCGCTGCACTATGAAATGACATGTGCACCGAGGCTCTGAGTGGTTGTATGAAAGAATAACACAGCCCTGCAGTGGGAAACATCACTTAACACAGGAATACACACGCCGCTCTGACTGGGAGCCTGCTGGCCAGACGCCCCGGTCTCTGGTGAACGCTGTGTTAACTCACCACCTGCTCTGCTGTATGGTTTGTGACAAATGTTGATCGATGTTACAAGTTTGTACAGATAATTGATTGTCTGGCAAAAGGTAGCAGAACATGAAGGCTTCACTCACCAAACGTCTGGTTTTCATTTGTCTAATCTTCGCATCATTAGTTGTGAGCGTTAGCACTCTGATCATGATGGTGATGCTGGCCCTCCCATCAGTAATAGTAATTATACAGCACTAACAAATACTGGTGAAAAATCAGCTGGACATAATAGCAGCATTTCCTACATCATCCAAACATGGAAGTCAAGATTAGATTTAGAGATTTGTTGGGAAATGTTTAAATTTGTTTCTTGGCTGTAGCTTCAGAAGTGTCTTATTAGCAGCAGTATTCTTTGATATTCTGTATTAATACCAAGTTTGAACCGGCTCTGCTTATTCAGACATGACACGTAGACTAGATTGTTTTCATTATTTTTCAGCATTTATGTGTGTTTTGCGTATTTATTATTTCCCAGTGTTCAGTTTGAAGTACTTTTTCTTTTGTTTTTCCACACAGTAATATATGAGTAAAACTTTTGTTGACCCACTCAAGGCAAAAAAAAAAACACAATACTTTGGATGAAACAGGGCTATAATCCTCAAATAT